AAAGTCACCTGCAAAAAGGGGGGATAACATAAGGGGAGGAGGAGACAGACGGCTACACACGGACCATCAGCGGAATGGATGCAGCCACCAACTCCTCAGTGCAGCTTCCCACTGGATAATTAATTAGACTCCCTATTCACCGAGGGGCTTAAACACATGCATGGCGTGTGAGCAGCCTCACTGAAGTCAACATCAGTGAGACTATTCAAACACTGAAATGCTCAATCGCTGCTGATTCAAGGCCTTCTATAATAATAAACAATATTACCCCTCCCTGCTCTTATAGAGTCTCTCTCCTTTCATAGACCTCAAAGTGCTTTAAAAGAGAATAGAGGATCATTCCTTTGTTTTACACCCGGGGAAGCAGAAGTACAGAGAGGGGGAAATGACGGGTCTTTGGTCACATAGTGAGCTGGCAGTGAAGCCAGGAACAGAATCCAGATCCGCACAGCCCCGCGGGGCAGTGCCCTACCCACGGTACCCACGCCTCAAGAAGCAGCTGTGTGTCAGTGCGGGTAATTACAACACGGCACCCTAGCAAAGTTTTGGTCCCCTTGTGCCACAGGCAGAATTACTGATTTGCCAGGTGCCCGAGATCCACATATCACCTTGTACGTTTAAACACATTCCTAGGAACCGGGTGTTTTACCAGATGTCTCTCAATCTAACTTTAATCACACAAACACCAGGAATTTTCAGAACAGATAACACAATGTGATTTAACAGCTTGTCTAGCCCGGTTGGTATTGCTTCTCGTACCGCCCTCCACCACATGCTTCTCTGTAAGTGACTGAGCTGTTGGTACATTTGGTTGAAGGTTAGAAGAAAATGGTGAAGTGGGTTCAATTTAAACAAGTGCTTTAAACTCTCTCCTTGAGAAAGATTTAAGCACATGCATAAATTCTTCCCTGGGTCGGGACCACATGCAGGTAAGGTGCACAGCCGCCAGGCCAAAGTACCCAGCTCGTGGGGAAACTCCTCGCAGAGAATGGCCACAGAAGTGCTGATCCCTTGGAAGACCGACACGGTGAAAGAGGCGCCGATGGCCAAGCCATCGATGAAATTGTGGAGGCCGTCACTCAGGGTGATCATCCAGGCCAGCGTGCCAATGTCGGAGTATCGCACCCCTTTCAGCCAGTAGCACGCACTCTGGGAAGCCTGCAGGTCCTGCAAGAGAGCACCCCAAAGTCACACGTGAACCCCACTGGCTGGGTCCCCGATTCTCCCCCAGGCTGCGGACAACTCCACTTATTGTGCTGCCAGCGTCACGCTCATCTTTGCAGACTAAGCCAACGGCCGTAACTCGTAACACCACCAGGACAGGCACCCACCTGGATAGACAGGGAGCCCACAATGACCTTCTCATCCACTGGAGGGCTCTTGCACTCTAGCTCACTGTTCCTGTGAGGGATCATATGATCCATGTCCCCATTCTGCAGTTTTTCAGTGACCCCTTCCTCCTGGTCCTTCTTGGAGGGGAGAGTCTCCGGGCTGTAGTGGCTGTGCCCATGATGGTGCTGGAAGAACACAGAGATTTTCCGCATTTGGCCATGGGCTACAGGTGGCATTCCATCACTTGTACGCTTCCAGCGCCTAATTGTCGGTGGCATGCTGATTATTTTAGCTTTCCCACAAGCAAGGACAGGAAGCCTTGCAGAGATGGCGATGCTGAAGTGACTAAAACCATTAAGAAACTAGAGTCTCTTTGGTATTATAGCCCAGCATTAGGACTGGGCCTTTTAATAGCATCTTTCCTCCCAGGGCCTCTGTTAAACGACTATACAACTTACTAGGGAAGCGAATGGTTAACCGGTTATCCATCACCCTTCCTGGGTGATGATTACCAGTTACAGTTAACCGGTGGGCTGGAGCAGCCCTCTGCCCATGGAGGCCTGGCGTAGGGGCACTCCACCCCAGCTGGAACAGCCCCCAGCCGCAGCGGGCCCAGACTGGAGCCACTTCTCGGATGGCACAGGACAGCTTTTAGCGTGGAGCAGGAGAAGGAACAAACATACAGCATCATTGCCAAGTGCCTTCTGCTTCCCCTTTTCTCACGAAACTATAACCCTCCCCCAAATGTAAAAAAGGAACCATTGATTGTTTTACAAAGATCTACGCTTCTCTATCCACACGCAGGATTTAAGAGTCAGCGTGCAGCCAGTCCACTCCGAATGGAAATAGGTTCTCGTGAAAAATGGATTTGTGAAAACGGCACCAGAATAAGTCTGTTTGGGAGCACCTTTGTGGCACTGGTCAATCCGTGCCCCCCGAGGACTAGCTCCGCCTCACCTGGTCTTTCTGCTTGAGAAGCATCTTCAGGATTTTTTCTGTGAAGAAGAACAAATAAAACCCTCCAAAGACCACTGCAGATTTGGAAACATAATAATCCTCTTGAGGGTTAAATCCAAAGGCCTGCAGACAAGGGGCAACAGAGAAAGGTTTGAGAACCGTGAACTCTAGCGGTACCCCTCATCTCCCTTACCCTTGTCTCTGGGATCTCTCACTACAGGGGCAGCAGAGCAGCACTTCAGTTAGTCTTTTCTCCCTGCAATGAATGCTTAATGCACCCAAACGTGCAATACTAGTGCATGCTAGGAGGAAAGGTCTTCTTGACCCTAGATGAAATCAGCTTGTGCTCTGAGGTGTGAGAACTATTCGCTCATCTCATTTTTATCTCAGATGGTGTCACTGCTGATCCTACTCACCTAAATGTCTAATACCCCTATAAATCTCACTCAGCTACTTATCTTGATATCCTGTGGCTAGGAGTTCCACAGGTTATTAAATTCCATTGCTTTAAATCTATTGGTTTTTAAATTCATTGGCCCGCTTGCCTGTGTTTATAGTGACACCTGACTTGTGAGAGAAGGACCAATGAAATCTCTTGTATAAGCCACCAGTCCCAGAAAACATCCTTAGCCGACCCCTTCATTTTGAGGGGCAGGAGAAGCAACTGCACAACTTCTACAGAGCCTGCTGCACCAACGCTCCCTGATCAGGTGTGAGGCTTTTCTGGACAGCGGCATGCCACCTTGCGCAGCACACTCATTTCTCGTGCGCACAGGTGGTGTTCTCAGCAGGTTTTAGAACACAGGCTGTGGATCCTTTCATCTCAAGCCCAGAACATCTAAGTCACTTCTCACAACAAACTCAGAGTTGTGTCGACCTGAAGCATGTCCACTCTTGGCTAGCATGAACCCTGGGAGCCAGGCAGAAGGGACGCCAACAGGCAGCACCATTTCCCTCGGCAAGGGGGCCTCTCCACCCCATCTGCTCTCTACCATAAAAGTGACCCAAGTCGAGCCTGGCTTTGTTCACACATCACAGCCACTTGCTTTATACGGCTTGAGGATAGCTCAGGCCTGGCCTACATGTCAAAGGGGGGTTGCTACAGCAACATCAGCCAGGGGTGTGCAAAAAACACACTAACTATGCTAACAACCCCCAGGGTGGATGCAGCTAGGCCGACAGACAAATGCTCTTTTTGGACACAGCCACTATTGCTCAGACAGATGGCACCTACAGCCGTGGAAAAACCCTTTCCCTTGGTGAGGGGGTTATGCCAGCATAGCTATGAAGCCACAGTTGTACCAGCGGTCTCCATCATGTGGGCATTCTCCAAGGCTTTGAGGTCCTCTGAGCAGCGCCAGACAGCTCGCTCTGGCAGGGAAGTTAATACCATCAGCGCCATTTGAGTCAGGCACCAAGGCGACAGGCACTGCAGGGCCCACCACGGGCAGGAGGCGCACCAGCCCGGCTGGAGCAGCCTGTCAGCGGTGGGGGGAGGAGAGCAGCCACTCCAGCCTGGCCACGGCAGGTGGGAGGAAAGGGGACCACTCAGACCAGCTGGGCTGCCTCCCCCCATCTACTGCTTCTTTAATCGGTTAACCAATTGAACATTACCTTTCGCCAATGAAACAGGACTTTACATCCCTAATGGCAACGAGCTAGGAACTTAACCCGGTCCCTCCATTTAGCCTCGCCAACGGGCCTTAAACATTTCCAGCACCATTTGCAGGCCCAGGCCAGGACTGACCATCTCTTGTCTGCCTGCAACCATCGCTCACGTTTCTCCTCAAGTTCCGCCGGCTTCTCCTCAAGCCAGGGAGCACAGAGACAGACAGACAGACAGGCACATGCACCACAGACCCGAAGGCTCTCACCATACCTCGGGGATGAGCTGGAAGAGGGCATTGGAGTAGAGAGTTCCGATCGCTAGGGCAATGAAGAAGAGGAGCAGCCGCTTGTAAAAGGTCTTCTTCATGAAGGGCACCACGCTGGCTCCCACCAGGGAGCAGAGGGAGATGACGGTCACGCAGAGGAAACCGTAACCCCAGACTGTAGCGTGCGTGCCAACCCCACCCCAGGTGCAAAGGGTGGGAGAATCAACACAGGAGAGCAAAGAAGTGAATCCACACCAGAGAGAGAGCGAGAGAGAGAGAGGGGAAAGGGAGGAGAAAAGGGGACATTTATTAGTGATTTCATATCAATTTGGAATCGATTCAAGGAGGCCAGAATCAAACTGGTACTAGATGGCTCTGGAACTCTGGCATGCCGGCCCCTTTGGCGAGGGCAGGATCCTGGCGGGCACACAAGGAATGTGAGGCTCTCCAGCCCGCGTTCCAGGACACAGTTCCAGCGACCAGCTGCACCACAGACTGGCCTGGGAATGGATTCTCCCCTGGGGGAAGCAGAGGGTTGAGCGAAGGAACAAGATTCCTCACCCTAACAAGACCGACTTTAAAACAAACACTCCAAGGACGGAGATTAGCTTTTGGCAGGACTAGGTGAAGTCTATTTTGACAAGAGGAAAAATAAAAAAAATCAGGGTTCTGCTTCGCTTTCCTGGTGACCTTGACAGACTCTCAGTGGACACAGGCCATTCTCAGGAGCCAAAGGCCCGTTTATGGGGCAGGTGGGCATGTCAGAGTTCCAGCGTCCCATGGAGCACCTCAGTTCTATAGCCTGCACCTTGTACACTCCACCCGCATCACACAGCTGAGCCTCTTCACCCTGTGCACGGCCAGCGCACGCATCCCTGGGGTATCTGAACACCAGATAATGTTAGAGAGGCCAAGCGTTCCCCCTGGTCTGTACGAGGCCTTTCCAAGCTCACGGATTCACTTGCATTTACGTTCCGTGCTGCGGGAGTTCTACCACAAGCGTACCATGGGGGTGGAGTGTACACCATCATTTCAGTTCCCACCAGATCAGGCAGCAAGGCATTTTGTTTGGTTTTTAAGAAACAAAATACAACGAAGTTACAGTTCTGGAGCTGAAAAATACCTCCCCAAGTCCCACAAACAAGAGGTCCCCTCAGACTCTGGCTTAGCGATGTGGTAACAGCCCATGGCTACATGGGATATGCAGCAATGCTAGGAGGTAGACAGACCGCCAAGCCTGGGAGACCCATCGTGAAGTGGACTAGTTTTGTTCTAGCTTGCGAGGGACCGAGAGAAACACGCAGCAGTCCTGCCGTTCCCACTTCTCTCCGTTTGCCAATAGGCGGCTGACTGAAACCGCCAGGAGATTCTGGAGCGCAGGCAAAGCAAGGCAATAGCCATTTAAGATTAGATACATGGTCTTCTTCAGGGCAGTACAATGCACACACATATGCTGACGGCAAAGCGAGCCCGAGATCTCCGTGGGAGGGACGCTCCAGGGAGAAGCTGAGATTTTTATTTTTGTTCCACGACTCCTAGGCTGAACAGTTTGAGGATCTGAGGTCCATAAGCACCTGGGCCCTTCTGAGAACAACCTGCTGCCAGAAAGCAGGCTGGAGGAGGGCGTGTGTGCCCAATACCTGATTGTAAAGCACCTGGGAATATTTATTTAGCTCCAGAATTGCGCAATTAAACCAAAAATTAATTCATATTGTATCTGACAAACCCATCGGGGCACCAGGAAACCTCACTTTGCAGAGATCCTTCCGGGGATTTTGCCGCCAGGAGAAATCTGGGATCCCAAGACAAGAGGGGTTCCTTCAGTGCATTTTTACCCTCTGCTCCTTCCTTCCTCATTCACACACCCTTCTCATGAGCCCTGGGACCGCCCCCCCCCGCAGGTTCTGCCCATCAGCCCACTAATGATGCTGCGAACATGCTGTCAACCCCAGTACGGGAATGGCCAGTCCTCCTGAAGCCCCAGTGCACGCTTGGTCTGTGCTTAGCATCACTCACCACAGGCAGGCTTTGGGAAATCTCCCCACTAGCAACCAAAAGCCAATCAAAATACACCGAGCGAGGGGCCTTATTACAACCTGTTCCACAAGCAGCTAGGACCAGCCATGTTTCCAATGACTCCAACTGGGGGGGGACCGATTGGCCACCCAGCCGGAGCCACATGGGGGAAGGAGCTCTCTTCTCCGTCTCGTGCTAGGATCGCTGCCAGCTGCCCTGCAGTGGCACTGCTGTGCTCAGAGAGGCTGCAGGCCACCAGACAGGAAGGAGGAAGCAGGCTAGGATGCCACAGGGCGACACGTGCAGCCTGAACAACCAAGTTCCACCCTGAAGAAACTACGGGATGTTTCCTGGTGCTCAGAGGAGTCAGAGGGTGCTGGGGAGCCAGCATGGAAGAGTTTCCCTTGGCGATGGAGAAATCTGTTTGGCAGGGGTGGAGCTGTAAAGGCCGGCAGGAGAGCCAGCCCTGTGAGAGACAAAGAAGGGCAGGGTGGGTTCTACTGCACCTCTGGGATCAGCTGGAAGAGCGCATTAGAGAGCAGCGTCCCGATGGAGAGCGCGATGAAATAAGTGAGGACCCGTCTGAAAAAGGCCTTGGTGGTGCAGGGCACGACGAAGACTCCAAGGAGGGAGGCCAGGTTAATCAGTGACACACTGAGAAAACCAAAGCCCCACACTGCGGAACAAGAAGAAACGAGGGATGGATTACCAAGGCGCTTTGGGGTGGGGAGGGCCTGATGCCAGCAGCTCAGGATACAGCTGGGCAAGGAAGGCCAAGGGAGTCAGGCCTCGCTCAGGCGCGGGCCTGGCCTTGACGAAGGCTCATTCCCCTCCACTGTGCTGCTTGAGATCCTTTAATGGTGGGACAGCTACAGGATGGGGAGGGTGTGGAAATAAACCTGGTTAACTCCGGGTCTCTGAATTAATTTAAAGGGCACTGGCTATTGTTATGCTCCAGGTGCGGCATTCAGCTGTACCCCATTAACAGGCCGGAAAAAGCGAGGCAGAGCCAGGAAGGAGGAGAATGCAGGCACCAGAGACGAGTTCCTGAGACAATACCCGTGTGTTGCAATAGGGGGCGCTATCACTCCAAGGAGGCCTGGGCCACTTTTGGTTGTTACCGGTCCCCTGGCGCTTGCGGGAAGTTAACCCACGTTGAGATGCTCCTCTGGGGCTGTGTTTGCACAGCGCCTGGCGCCACGGGGTTCGGGGCTGGGCTCCGCGGCTCTACGCAAAACAAACCACCCATCCCTGAAGGAGAGTCTCATCTGAGCCACCGCACGCTGCTTCCCTGAACTCTCCCGTCACAGTGCCACGGGACGGCCGGCGTGCGAGTCCTCAGCCTGTCCCACAGTGACACGGCGTGGCCACGGAGACAGCCGCCACGGCCCATTCAGAGGTGGGCAAAATGCAATTCACATCAATAGTCTGTAATGTGCTTGGGACGAAAGGGGCGATAGGAACACCTGTTATTTATGAACGGGATCCTCCGGTGAGAGGCAAAACAGCCTAGAACAAGTGTGAGCCTCTGGGGGTGTGTGTGTCTCTCTCTCACACACTCACACACACACACACACACACACACACACACACACACACACAGCAGGGCCCAGACGCAGGGACTCAAACCCTACTTTCTCACTGACGGGACGCTGCTTTGCTCTATAGTGATAGGAGTGCTGATTGTGCAGGGAACTAAACTCACATGTCCCAATAGCAAACTTTCCACTCTGTATCATCAATGGCCCCATTAGCGTGCTCACTGAGTCCTGCCTTGCTCTTGGTAGGGAAGGGAAGAGGAGACTCTACAGGCTTATCACAAGAGAGATGTCTCTCCCAGGAAGAGCAGTGATAGAAATGTAGCCGTGTTAGTCTGGTGCAGTCCTGTTTTTTGTTTCTCCCAGGAGGAGTCTTTGGAATGACCTAAGCAACAACAGAAAAATCCAGCTGTGGGGGGCGGACTACCCCTTACGGGAGAGTTCAGGGAAGGAGCATGAAGTGGCTCAGAGGAGCATTTCCCCAGGATGCTCGGGTGCTTGGTGGTTTTTTTGCACCTTCAGGTGTGGAGGGGTCCCTCTGGTTTCTAACAGCTGCTCAAAGCCATCACTAAGAGGACTACTATTAAGCATAGTAGCAGAGTGCGTTTCAGCAGCATCTTCCTTCCCAAAGCACCTGGCTCTTAGGTAGCCCCCCGGGGAGGGCGGGTAAGGACTGACACACAGATTGGAGAAGAGAAAACCGAGGTGGAGAATGTGTGTGTCAGTCAATGTGACTTCCCCATGGCCAAATAGCTAGCGGAGAGGCAGAGCCTGGAATAGAACCGGGGTCCCTAGTCCAAGGTCATCACCCTCAGCTGAGAATTTTTGCTTTTTTCTGTCATTTAACACAGCAGGGGGATGGGGACTCCAACCATCTGCCCCTCCACTCTGCCAGCTAGCATTAGGCGGTCCTAGCGCAGTGGGCTAGCACTTCGCAAGCAGGCCTATCATGACCGCCGGCCAGATTCCACATTCAATTTAGAGAGCAACTTCATCAGCCTAACCTGCTGGAAAAGCGATGGATTAATGTAAAAAAAGGGTCCCCCGCCTCGGATCTCTATCCTCAGTTCTCCTCTGTGCAGCCCAGGGCCAGTCTATACAGGGGTTTAGTTCACGCTGGGCTGATGGGCGGTACACGAACTGTGCCAGCAGCATGCACATGGGACAGCTGTCTCAATTCACACCATTGGGTACGTACAGAAGGGCTCGGGTCACATTAAGTGGGGAGCACTCCAGGTGGGTATCCCATGCGCCTTCGCTTTGCCGAGTGAATTCTGCGCTCTCCCCTCCTGTGGGACATACAGGGAAGCAAGGGGAGTTCTAGGACTTGGGAGTCAAACTCCTCAAATCCCATGAGGCCACCCCCTCCACACCCTGGTTCCTTTCCTCCTGAGCAGGCTAGCGCCATTTCCTAATAGCTGTCAGCCGAAGACACCGCTCCGGACACGCTGCCCAGCCCCAGCGCGTGGCTCGTGCTCTGGGCCTGAGGCCAGGGCCTGCCCTGGCAGGCAGGAAAGGGGTAGTTTCTGGTGCTATCTCCAGTCCTACAGCGGGGCTGAGAAAAAGCATCGGTGCCCTGCACTTGAGAGCGCTGCTCGGAAAACTCCCGCTTCGGTAACACCTTGAGAGCCAACGCAGGCCCTGGCCCCCTCTCTGGGCCCGCTGGCTCTCCGTTCACCTTCTGCCGAGCTGGGCTTCCCCTCCTCCGTCTGCTCATTCTCCTCGTTCTCCAGGTTCTCCGCCGTGCACGCCTGAGACTCCAGCTGCTGCAGGATGGCCGGGCAGAACTCCTGGAACTCGCGCGGGCCGAGACGGGCCCCCTCACTCAGGTTATGGGCGGAGAAGAGCTCCGAGGAGCTGAAGCACTGGGGTGGGGAGAGAGAGACCTTGAGTAGCCCATGCCTGGGCTCTGCTGCCTGGTTCGGCAACAGGGACACCCTCAGAGGGCTCCTTGATGTGTCCTTTCCTTCCCAGGTGCTCACAGCAGCCCCTAGCTGGACTCAGGCCTATCCTGCTGCATGCAAGACCCTACCTCACCCTGCAGGTCTGAAGGGTTCCAAGAACCCCCCAGCTAGAGGGGCTGCATTACCCGCACCCTGACAGTACTCTCCACGCTCCTCCAGCCCAGCAGGGCCGGCTTTCCTCCTCCCCCCGCGGCTCCCAGCGAGCAGAACGCAGCAGGGATGGGAACACGGGGCCCAGAAGGCAGGGATCTAAGGAGAGCAAGTAGGCACAGCAGGGGCAGCCGTGGTCTCCCGGCAGAGCTCAAGCTGCCTCCCTGCAGACTGGCCCCCATGACTCTCCCCACTGAGACCCAGGCTCATCTCTCTATTCCAGACGAGCTTAGCGCATGGCCAGGGCCGTGGTGACCCTGCGCAAGGTGTTAATGGAGGGGACAGGAAAATGGTGTGTGAAGCCGGGGCCATCCCTCCTGAGGCGCTGCAGACGGGGCCACCCAGGAATTCACGCGGCTCGTTACCCGGGAGAGGTTCCTGCGCTGCGGCTCCGACCGGGAGATGTTCTCGTGCCCCACCCCCACGTCGAGGCGGTCCAGCAGGGCCTTGAGCTGCGGCAGGGTCAGCGCCTCGCTCTCGCCGTACCGGCGCAGGAGCGCCTGCAGGAAGGAGGCTGCGGTGACGGCCGGCTGCGGCGAGAGGTCCGTGCCAGCCTGCGCCTGGCAGGAGATGCCCAGGAGGCACAGCAGCATCCCCAGAAGGGAGCAGCGGGGGCTCACGGCCAGGATCATGGTGCGCAGGCAATGCTGCAAAAGGAGACAGACGCTGCGGTTAACTTGAGTGCTCCCGGCAGCCCGGGGGTTGCCAGGGGTTACCACTCCAGGTAACGCATCTGCTTGGGTCAGGCCCGCTCCGGGGGCACCCCCGGCTGCACAGGTGCTGGAACTCGGGGTGCTCCCCCGGGGCTGGACTTACTCCAGGTAACGCATCGGCTTGGGTCAGGCCCGCTCCGGGGGCACCCCCGGCTGCACAGGTGCTGGAACTCGGGGTGCTCCCCCGGGGCTTGAAGTGGCTTCCTTTCTAGACAGGGTTTGCAATTTGCACCCACACTGTTCCAGCACCCCGCCTGGCTTAGCTAGGTCCCCATCCCTCCTTCCAGCTGCCCCAGCCTTTACTCGGCTTCCCCACGCAGGAGGACGGGCACCCAGCGGCGAGGAGGAGACGTTCCTCATGACTCCCTAGAAGGGCTCGGCACCCGCCCAGCAGATTTCCTTCGCAGCCGAGCACCCCTAGACTCCAGGAGCCCAGCTGCCGTGGGGCTCTCCTTCCCCGCCACGAGGGGCCGCGACTCAGCGCGGAAAGTGGACAGAAGAACTTGCCGTGGTTGCCCCGAAAGCACCGATCCCGCGGGCAGAGGAAAAGTCCGTGCGCTCTTCCCCCCCC